GATACAGGTATATTGCATTTATTATTTACAATGAACCAAGAAAAAGTCTTGTTGGAAAATTTAATAACGTCAAAAAAAAATATACAACGAAAAATAATGGAAATGAAACGTGGTGTTATAGATTCTGAAAACTATTTCCGTGAAGCATTTAGGCCGATAATTGAACCATTGAGTACACATGTGAAACAAAATGTAATATGTAACACACGGTCAACTGAACTAGAAAATAAATCAGAAACCCCGTACATTAGTGAAGAAGATAATGATGATGAATTAAATTCATCATATGAAAATTTTTTAAATAACCGTCCTAAAGCAACACGTTATGATAAATCTTATGGTATGTATTATGATAAAGATAGTGATTCATATAAAATAGGAAAACATTCTGTTACTTTTAGTCACGGCAAATTAATGTTGCTTAATAAATACTACCAATTTACACCAGGACTATGGTCTTTATTATGTGAGAAGGAACCAAAAAATACAACTATAGCAGATATAGAATCTTATTACAATATTTTGAAAACTAGTGGAGTCCATTTAAAAGCAGATGGAAAACCTAGAACCTCGAGGTACCATAAATGGGTGACTGTTGTAAAACCACTGTATGATCGAATGAAAATGGAGGTAAAACAGTTTAACGAAGAAATAAGTAAAATTAATGAGAATATAACTCCTCGAATTAATTTAAAATCATTTAACAATCATTTATCTAGTTCAAGCGCTTAACGCAGAAAAATAACACAAGAATTTGAACCATTTGATTTTAATCCAGAAGCAAACAGTTCCATGTCTACAAATCCCGTAGTTGAAAAGATGTTTAATTTTACTTCATCACCAAAGACTATGAAAGGTTCTGGTTTATATAAAGATGTCTTACCCTCAAACCCAATTAGTTTATTATGACGATCCGAATGAGCTAGTAACTAGATTAAATCTTTTGACATCATCACAAAGTGTTGGTAATACTGGTGTGAATAATGAAATAATATCTATTTTAGAAGAACTACGTGAGAGAAAT